TACCCGCAGTCAATATAAGTCATGTTAACATTCAACACATATTTATGCCAATAAGCGAAATGATGGGACTCTATGTACTCGTATACCTTTCCCCACCATAACATGGCATCCCTTTGTGAAAACTGAAAGTTAGCCATTCAATACGAATTTTGTGTAAAATTAGATAATTAAACAATGTTATTCAATAATTAAATATATATTTCTTGATTTTTAATTTTCATACATTTATTATCGCACACTAAATATTAAGCCAATTATTATGGTAATATATTCAATATTTTAATTCTCAATGCTATAAATATTCTTTTATTATTAAAATATAATAAGTTATTATATAGGGGCATACACAAAAAAACGTTCACACGGAAACTTTAATAGCTTAAATATAGATATTAGAAATCAATGGATATTATTATGCCAATACATGCTACCTTCTGTGTAAATAATATCACTGAAATAATTTAAAAATTATTCCATTTAATAAAGAAATTGCAGCGTTTTTAAAATTTAGATTTATGTACAGTTTTTGCCAAAATCGCCAAAATTGTAAAAATTCAAAACGCTGCCATTTCTTTATTAAATGGAATAATTTAAAAATTATTTCAGTGATATTATTTGCACAGAATGTAGCATGTATTGGCATAATAATATCCATTGATTTCTAATATTTATGTCATTAACATGGGAAATCGTATCTTACATTTTGTATCGCACAGCCATTATTAGCGATTATTTTTACCACATATGGCTTAAATTAAGGTAGCATGTACTGACATAATAATATCCATTGATTTCTAATATTTATGTCATTAACATGGGAAATCGTATCTTACATTTTGTATCGCACAGCCATTATTAGCGATTAGTTTTTTACCACATATGGCTTAAATGAAAGCTCTACTATTGAGCTTTCAAACTCACTTAACCATTTTGACCCATGACCTCTACCCTTACCTGTACCTATGACCTTTGCGTTCATTCCGTTATTTCGATTAGTGTACATTTTGATAAAATTTATTTTAACAGTAAAAGTTCTGCAATAGATGTTAATAATACTTTTTACTGCTTCAGTCTAGGCCTTGTAGTTAGCAAGCTATTAAAGTTTCCGCGTGAACGTTTTTTTGTGTATGCCCCTATATATAAAAATAAATTATTAATTTCATTGCAATTATTGTCTTATAAAAATACGCCCCATTGTAATAAATATTGACAAAATTACGTATGAATTAAACATGAATATATGAAATAACCATATGAATATATTACATGTAAAATATATAAAAAAATTATATAATTTAAACAATATTATTTTTTAAATTGATTTTATTATATTAAACAAAATTAATTTTAGTAAATATTACACGTTATAAATAGATTTAAAATAGAAACACGCATTTGATTGATAGCGTTAGCGATACAGTATAGCGTTAGTGTCTATATTTAGACAAAAATAAAGTGATCGGAAATACATACATAAATATGTAAGCATGGTAATAACATAATTCACAAATTAAGCCGATTACACAAATACCGAGACTATAGATCATGAATACGAATAGCGATTGCGTGTCATTGAGGTATAAATCATTGTATTCATCGTTAGTATTGGCGTAAAAGTCATAAATACCATTCCCTCCCGTAAAGAATCCATTTCCAATTATGTTCATGGTCGTTTCAAAATAAAACTTAGTTTTCAAATGATACCAGTATTGCAAAAGTGATGACTCGTATAAACGCTGAGCACTACTCATAAAATAATCAAATTTATGTATAAATCATTAATATATAATTATTAATTAAACACAACATTCAATACTCACATAACATTAGACTGATTAATAAACTGAAAGGTGGGTCCAACACATAGGGGTGTTATAGGGATTGACAGGTACTGTTGGCCCACATGTATGGCCATAAATCTTGGAATGTATGGCTCGATTACATCCATCCAAGTCTGGTCTTCAATCAACACTTTATTACTGAAAAATTTACGTATTTTTTGCGGACTCGCAGTAATTTCTGACGAACCATCCATTAATTGTTTGGTATCCCATGTCCTCAACCTAGTGGTGACCAGTTTCACAAAATTATCTCTGAATGAGTTGTTACCAAAACCCTCATAAAATTCCGGTTCCCTCCACTCGTCGTATTTGAAGTCATTGGTGTATACCTCATACCTGTCATCCAATAGGTCCTCAATAGTGTCGGCGAAGACCTGGGTCACCGTAACTACTTGTATATACTTTGGCTCATATGTATCACTTATACCTCATACCTGTCATCCAATAGGTCCTCAATAGTGTCGGCGTATATCTCGGGTCGGGTCACCATATTTGCCAACAAATCATTTTGTATGACATAAACCAATTGCGTGATACATATGAGCCAAAGTATATACAAGTAGTTACGGTGACCCAGGTCTTCGCCAATCATTAACAGGGGTTTAATGTATATCCATATAAACCCAAACAAAGTGGTACTGGTACGTTTATTTGTGAATTTGTTTGAATACATGTGTGTAATGAATAGTACGATTAATGCTGTAATGATGGCAAACCAGACATATCGGTCGAAACCCTTATAGATGTCCAAAATTGGAGGCAAGTGTTCAACGTTTACGGGACTTATGATATTTAACGCGTTTGAAATATAAAGTGGTCTTGAACATGAGTGAATACCAGTATATTGGGTTTCGTATAGATAATTCATTGGTGTAAAATCATAGCCAGTTATCTGTCCAGTCCTTATCAACTCTCTCCTAATCCATCGTAAGTCATCATCAATACATTTGAATACGTATAGGTGTACGCTATAAGAGTATTACATTTTTACATTTAGTATTGTATGCAATTTTATACCTGTGGTTCACCAATTTACCAAGCTCTATCAACACGGGTACTATTAATGAGCTATGATATGCAGCATTTTCACCATCAACAGGGTAATATTCTTTCTAGAAATTATTTGATAAACAACTCATAGTAAATGACATGATTAGTAAATTTATATTTACACTTTTTTTGAGTAGTAAGAACAGTAAATGTATTTTCATATCTAGGTAATGGCAAGTCTACAAATTTTTGACCATCTGTATAACTGCAGTCAATATAAGTCATGTTAACATTTTCCACGTATTTATGCCAATAACCAAAATGATGAGACTGTATGTACTCGTATATACCACCCATGTATAGCATGGCATCCCGGTGCGAGAATGAGAACCCCATTACAAAGTTTTGTAAAGTTATAAGTTGTGTATTAAATGTTGTTTTCTAAGTATTGAAGTGAATGAGATACAGTATATAGTTTTATATTATGACATTATAATTTATTTTAGATATTGTTTACTTCAACTTACTGCAAATAACAATGTTTTTAATTATATATTTAGATATGTATATAAAATATACTTAAATAGAGAGAGAGAGAGAGATAATTATACAATAACATTAATATTATATGTAAACACTGTTTTTACTAATTAGAAATTCAGATCAAATGTATATTTAATAAACTAAGTAGGGTAATACATCCAACCTTTACGATGCATTACAATATAAATATTAATATTATAAACAATTAAAATCAATATGTAAATTAGAACATTCATTAAATGTACCAGTACAGTATAGCTGTAAAACAATCACTTAGTAATTTCATTTTATTATTTCATACCTTTGATATAAAATAGTCAGTTATAACACGTATTTAGGAATAATTAATAATTAAATGTATAAATATTGCAATCTACTAATACAATTGTAAAATTATCGGAGTTATTGTATCTACTACACTTTTAAAATACGACTTCACATTATTATTCTGCTTGAATTATCGTGATTTGATTAAATCATATGGAAATGCTTACGAATACATATCATCACATACTTATGGATTTTGGCACAAATATGTGTTGAATGTTAACATGACTTATATTGACTGCAATTATGGGCCCACTTATCAACAAATGAAAAAAACCTGACAATACTTTCATTTTAAAAAACTACTGATAATTCGGATAATAAATAAATACTGCTAATAAAATGATATATTACCTATGATTAACCATTTTACCAAGCTCAATCAACACCGGAGCAATTAATGAACTAAAATAACATACACTTTGCCCATCAATCTCAAAGTATTCTTCCTATTTTTATTTATAATAAATTTAATTATCATTGTAAACAATATTTGCTAATAACCTAGTAAAATTGATAGTTACATTGTCAAAGTGGGTTTTTAAATAAAATGAATCAGGATACTTAGGCAACGGATCATCGGGTATAAGATAATCGGTACTAAAATTATACGAGCAGTCAATATAAGTCATGTTAACATTTTCCACATATTTATGCCAAAAACCAAAATGATGAGACTCAATGTACTCGTACAAATTACCCGCTAGCATCATATCCCTCTCTGACAGACTCATTTTATCTTGATTATAAGTTAATTGTATTAAGATTTTTAAACTTGAATTTGTAATAATTAAATTATATCCCTCTCTGACATCGAATTCATCTTGACACTATTTTATTTAACACGGGTTTTAATTAAACTATATTTATACACACCACACCTATGGTAATATTGTTGAAAATATTAACTTGTATAAGAAAATTTATTAATAAATTATAAACAATTTATGTAGATCAATATCAAAGCAATTAGTTAAGAAATGAAAAACAAATTAAATAATTAGGTTTTGTAATTGGTATTGATTAATAATATTAATAATAAAGCAATTAAATATATGATAAAATTATAGGTAATCAATTGTAGAAAAATGATCAATATTTCCTGTATAAATAATTCAAACATTTCAATATAACTAAAATATTTCTATTACTTGACATTTATTAATTTTGTTAATATTTTGATAAAAACAAAATGATCGGAAATAAATTGAAAAATATGTACAAATTATGATAAAACAATTCACAGATTAAACCGATTACACAAAAACAGGCCATACATAATAAATTGAAACAATGATTACATTCATCCAATGATAATTGAGTGTACGGGTCAGATATGTGGGCGTAATAGTCATTAATAAATTGTAAAAATGTAAGCTTTTATATCTAATAGTATTATAAATTAAATGTTTCAATCAATACATATATGATATCACTTTCATTAACAAACTTAAACTTACCAAGGCTTATAGAGTACGGAACTGATCAATATCATCATATTGGACATGTATAGGGGTTGGGAGCACTGGTAGCCTTTCTGTGTCTCCCAGTAGTAATTCATAAGCGTGTTGTCAATTGCAGTCAACTGTCCATTCATTACCATTTTATGACACGGTATGTGGTAATCAGGTGTATCGCATGTAAACACATACAGGTGCACACTAACACATTATAACAATTTCCGTATTGTTTTATGTAATACAATAATTAATGCTTTTAGAAACTAACATGTAAAATACATAAAAAATTATATAATTTAAACAATATTATTTTTTATATTGATTTTATTATATTAAACAAAATTAATTTTGATAAATATTACACGTTATAAATAGATTTAACATAGAAACACGCATTTGATTGTCATTTTGTGGATAAGTAGTATAATTATAAATGCGCTGATAATGAGATACCAGACCCTTGTCTCCAAGCCCTTCCAGATGTCGACAATCGGAGGCAAAGGCTTATTGACGTTAACACTGATGAACATCAGTTGGTTTGACAGGTATAGGGGTTTAGTGCAGTGAAACGCCTTGGGTTCTGTCGTTTCAAACAAGTAATTCATGGGCACACTGTCCACACCTGTCAAGTCGCCATTCATGGTCATTTTGTACTCCGAATAAGTTTCGGAATAACCTGGCTCATCACACGTAAACACATACAGGTGCAAACTATATGTATGTATTGGGTAAACTAATTTAGATATGAAATTATACTTATTTCTGTTATAATTAAATCAAATTAAACTTTTGTATAATAATAAAAATAGTATTTCAATATAAATACCTGTGATTAACCATTTTACCAAGCTCAATCAATACACAAGCAATTAATGAATTAAAATACCCTGATTTCTCATCAATCTCATAGTAATGTCTCTATTCAGTAAAATTAACACTATTTCTAAAAGCAATTAATAATTTAATGAAATAAATTTATATTTACATTGCTCACTTCTGCCTTTAAGTAAAATGAATTAGTATATTTGGGTAACTGAGCATGGGGGTTTGTATAATTAATATTTAATTTATAATTGCAGTCAATAGAAGTCATGTTAACATTCAACACGTATTTATGCCAATAACCAAAATGATGTGATGATATGGACTTGTACATATTACCAAGTTTTATTATATCATTTAATGATATCGGACCCATTTTAACACTATTTTATTTATTACAATTTTTATTTAAAACTAAT